ATTCTGGGTGCCCCCTCAAGAGAACAGTGGGCTCTCCCTGGCATGGCTAGCTAGGAAAGCAGGACAGCAAAAGTTAAACACTAAATTGCGTTTAAATAGAACTCACACAAATGACAAATTAGCTGAGAGTTCCTTATTGGTTTTTGTTTAATAATTCAAAAACCAATACCAAACCAAATGTAAAAGAAGACAATAAGTGACTCCAGAACCAGGCTTCCTAGAGTTAATCTCTTCTACAAACTTTAATGGCAGCACATCCCTTCTCTGCTCACTAAAAGCAACTGGGGAGATCTACAACTATTTCAGAAAACAAGACTCTCCCCCGGGAACCATTCATCAGTGTGAGGAATGTCCCTAGCCCCATGAAACTCCCTCTCCAGCCTCCAGATCCTCTGGGGATGTGAGCTGAAGCAGTTTAGACTTTCCTGGCCCTTGCTTAGGTCAAGGTGAGCAACTTCCTGCCCTCCCAGGCAGGAGGATTGATTCTGTGTTCAGTTCTTGGCTTCTCAGAAGTTAGGGAACATTTCCAAGATCTTCTTTTTGTGCCTCCCAAAGTGCACAGAGACACTTATGCAAATCAGATCCCAGCATCAGCCTTAGAATTAAAAGGCAAATATCTAGCTCAGGTTTTCTCAACCTTGACCCTACTGACCTTTTCGATCAAATAATTCTCTATTGTGGGAAGTGCCCCGTGCGTGACTGGATGGTCAACAGCATCTTGGCCTCTACTTTTAATGTGCCAGTAGTACTGCCTTCTCCCAGATGTGACCACAAAATAATGTCTCCAGACATTGCTGAATGGCCTCCAGGAGGAAAATCATGCCAGGCTGTTCTGGTGGGTTCTGTCCAGCTCCTGTTGTCTCAGAGGCATACTTTGTAAGCAACATACCCCTCCATCTAAACCAGGGGGTGTTTCCCAAGCAGACACCTAGACCGAAGACCATTCCAGCCACTGTGGAGGAGCCAGAAGAATCTAGGGAGTGGCCCCATTTCCCAGAAGCTGCCATCAGAGGTTGATACCTGCAGCCAAATCAACCGAGACCAAGCAGTGGGTACAATTGTGTGGTTCTACCAGGGAAGGCCAACCCAGGGAGCAGTGTGGCGGGCAGGCAGGGACTCCCAGTTCAGAGGGAAGGAGCAAGCAGAAAGTGCTCGTCGGGCAGGAAGCAGGCAGATGGACCTCTGCGAGCATTGGCAGGGGCTTGGCACTGCCCACCAGGGATGGCTTAGTGGACCTAGCTGGGGCATTGAAGGACAGCGGGCACTGGAATTCCAGGCAGGGGGACCAGGGAGGTCAAATCCTCCAAGGCTGGACAGTGTGGCCTGTATGGAAGGGAACTGTACTCAGGGACACCAGGAATGCTTCTCAGATTTGCCCAGACAGCAGTTAGGAGTCCTGAGATAAGTCCACTGGACGTGTCTGGAAGGACTGCCACCCTTCAGTGGAAGGGCAGAGGTGAGGCGTTTGTGAGAACCCATGGACACACAAGGCTAAAACCTCAGCGACCTAGCCTCATTATCAGGGGACTTCAGCCAGCCACAGGCAGGGCTGCCAGGACCCTGGAGCCGGAGGATCTCAATGAGTACCACCCTTTGCCTCCTGGGAGCTGTCACACAGGGAGCTGTGACTCAGGGCCTCCCCCGCCCAGGTGAGTCACACACCTGCAGCCAATCTGCACGGAAGCTGCTGCCTGGAGCCAGAGCGCATGCCCACCAAGCACCCTGGCTTCGTTCCCCTCAGATCCCCAGGCCTGGCCCTCACCTTCCTCCCACGGCATCTTCACACTCTGGAGCCCTCACTCCGCTCAGCACTAATGCCCCTCCCTTCCCACTGTCGGCCTGTCAATTACTAGTCCGTGGGATGCCCCAGACAAGTCTCTGGGGAGCTAGCCTGCCATTAATTCGAGCAGTGTGCGTCCCTGTCTCTCCCTTTCCCTCCTCTCTCTTCCCCACCTGTCTTCAGTAGCAACTGTAGCAGTGGCTTCCCCAGGGGAGCAGCGTGACATGGCCACATCTTCAGGACGATCACCCGTGTGCCAGTTACAGCTGACAGCACTGATGGAGGGAAGGCGGGAGGCCAGATGCTGCCCTCGTCGCTGCCAGCAGCTGCGGCTTCTCCCCGACAGTTACAGGCACTCCTTCACCCCTTCCTCCCACCTCGGGGGGCACACAGGTGTGCACCAGGAGGCCTGGAGGTAGCCAGCCCTCAGGGCCCACAGGTCCTGTGTGACAGGACCGGGCTGTCCTCAGAACCACAGTAGGGCAAGGGGAGAGGAGGGCACTTGGAACCAGCAGGTAGGACAGCCACATCAGAGAGAATTTAGGGACCCAGTACCCAGGGGCCCTGAGGAACATGAGGTGGAGGAGAGGGAAGACCCTGAGTGACGATGCAGCCTCACTCTGACACTGTCTGACGGGATGGGCAGCTCCACACATGGCCTGGGATGACCGTGCTGCCTCTGGCTCACAAGCATTGCTCACCTCACGCCTTTGGGCTGTGAGCCCTGGGAAGGAAGAAGGAGGGAAGAGCATCACGAAGCGCATTTCCCCTCCTGTAGTCCTCCCAACACTCAGGGTGGGCAGGACAGGCCATAGAGCCATTATCCACTGGAGAGGAAAGGGAAGCCGGTCCCACAGTCAGGGCCACCATGCATGGCCCTAAAGCTTGCATCCTCCAGAGGCGACCAGTCAAGGATGAAATCCAGCCTGAACAGCTCCCACTGAGCCACTGTCTTCTCACTGGAGAACATTTTCCTAATTTACAGTAAGGCATTCATGGTCACCCAACCGGAGCCAGAGAGTGGCGGCACCGGACTCAAGCCCCATTGGTTGATTGGCCACCAGCCTTTCAGACCAGGTTTTTGGACTTTAGTTCAGAGGGCAGAGGGGGACCATCCACAGACCCACCTGCCAGCTCCCTGCTGTAGACCATGGGGCCCAGGGAACATGCCCTCATGGAACCTGCCACCCTCTCCCATCCTCATCCCAGCACCCAGGAGCTTGGGATCCCCTGTCCAGATGGCCTAAGCCTCCGCAAAGGGTCTGCCCTGCAGCTGGGGAGCCACTGGAATGTGGACCCCTGGTCGGCACCCTCTGCTCCACCAACCCAGCCCTCCTCTCCCCTCCTCCCTTCACCCCCCCACCTCTTTATCTCCCTCTCCCTGGTCCCTTCCAGCCCATGTGGGCCTGCCTTCTTGACTCCTGTAAGAACACACCAGGGTTCAGCCATGTCCAGAGGCTCCTTAACAGTGCAAGGCCTGGTGGGAGGGGAGAAGGCGGGGCCTGTCCTGCTGGTCATAGTGCACAGCCAGGAAGCCCCAGCAGGAGGGGAGCTGAAGAGCTGCCCTGGGCCTGGAGGAGGCTGGCATGGTGATGGGAAGAACAGACGGCAAGGCTGAGAAGGCTGGGAGGCAGCATGGGGCAGGAAGGGGCCCAGGAGCCTCTTGGACATCAGCCTGGGCCTTCTCCTGAGTCTTGGTTGCACCGCCCAGCCAGCCCCTCTGGCCCCCCATTCTCTCTTTTTTTTTTAATTGATTTTATTTTTTAAATACATGACAGCGGAATGTATTATAATTCTTATTACACATATAAAGCATAATTTTTCATATCTCTGTATATAAAGTATATTCACACCAATTCATCTCTTCATACATGTACTTTGGATAATGATGTCCATCACATTCCACCATCATTAATAACCCCCCGCCCCCTCCCACCCCTCCCACCCCTCTGTCCTATCTAGAGTTCATCTATTCCTCCCATGCTTCCCCTCCCTACCCCACTATGAATCAGCCTCCTTATATCAGAGAAAACATTTGGCATTTGGTTTTTTGGGATTGGCTCACTTCACTTAGCATTATCTTCTCCAACGCCATCCATTTATCTGCAAATGCCATGATTTTATTCTGTCTTATTGCTGAGTAAAATTCCATTGTGTATAAATGCCACATTTTTTAAATCCATTCATCTATTGAAGGGCATCTAGGTTGGTTCCACAGTTTAGCTATTGTGAATTGTGCTGCTATCTCTAGGGTATATAAAGAACTCAAAAAGCTAAGCATCAAAAAAACAAATAACCCAGTCAATAAATGGGCCAAGGACATGAACAGACACTTCTCAGAAGAGGACACACAATCAATCAGCAAATATATGAAAAAATGTTCATCATCACTAGCAATTAGAGAAATGCAAATCAAAACCACTCTAAGATTTCATCTCACTCCAGTCAGAATGGCAGCCATTATGCATACAAACAACAATAAGTGTTGGCGAGGATGTGGGGAAAAGGTACACTCATAACACTGCTGGTGGGACTGCAAAATTGTGCAGCTGATATAGAAAGCCGTATGAGATCCTTGGAAAATTGGGAATGGAACCACCATTTGAACCAGCTGTTCCTCTCCTTGGACTATACCCAAAGGACTTAAAAACAGCATACTACAGGGACACAGCCACATCAATGTTTATGGCCCCCCATTCTCTAGCCACCTGGGCCCTGGCCACTCCCTGAGTACGCTCTACCCCTGCTTCCTCCTCCACCTGAAAATGCCTCCACATCCTCAGAGATGCTGCTCAGGCTTCACCACCTCCAGGAAGCCTTCTCTGACTGCTCACCCCACCAGGATCCTCTCACCGTTTCTAGAGCTTTCCCTATAGTAGTATTTATAGCACGACATTGTAACCACTTATTTGTCTATCCCCTACCACAAACTTTGAGGGCAATAACCACCTTATTATGACAGCTGGCACCTGGAACCCGGTGGGCATTCAGTGGGGAGGCGGATGTCTGGATCACAGCAGAGCAATGGCAATGGGTGGAGGAGTGGGGGGGGGCACTTGGTGCCAGAGAGGTCGTGACCTCCTGCTGGTAAGAGAAGGAAGATGGTAGGTGATGGCGGTCCCAGCTGGTGTCTCTACTGCTCCCATTTTTGGGGGGAGGGACATTTGTCCCAGGAATGCTCTGATCCCTGGTGGTGACTGTCCTCTCTCCTTGGTCCTAGTATTTCTGCCTGTTGCTTGTCATCTTCCTGGTAGAGCTGGTGGCAGGCGTCCTGGCCCATGTGTACTACCAGAGGGTAAGTAGAATCAGAGGGCCCATTCTCTGCCAGTGCCCTGAAGAAACAATAGCCAGGGGGCACTGAGGCTGTCCCACTCAGGGTGGTCCTGGTTCCCAGGCCCGAGGACCCGCTGCACATCTGGATCCCATCTTCCTCTCTGGGTTCCAGCCATTCTCTGCTGATGCTGATGGGTGCAACATGGGAGCTGGGGGTGGTGGGAGTTCCCCGTAGGAGGTTGGGCCATCCCTCTCCCCTTCCAAGGATAGTTAGAGGTTGAATCCATCTGTCAAAGACATCCAGGGGAAGGGCTTGGGGCAGGGTGGCATGCAAGACCATAAAAGGGAGTTCTGGGGGCTGGGGCTCAGGGGTAGAGCGCTTGCCTTAGACGTGTGACGCACTGGGTTCGATCCTTAGCACCACGTGAAAAATAAATGAATCAATAAAGATATTGTGTCCATCTGCAGCTAATCTTTAAAAATGAGTTCAGGCTTTTTCTGCCCAGAATGAACAAGGTAAAGTGATCAGTCTGGTCCTCTCCCTTGCTGTGGCCTGGGAATCAGGGGTTTAAGGTCACGTGTAAGGTGATTTGGGGTCGCTAGAGGGTGTGCCACCATGCTGGTTAATTGAACCAGTGTCCACACGGTGCCCACAGGGTAGCAATTGGTAACGCTTTGAAGATAACCTTGTAATCAAATTCAGATCCACAGCTATTGGAAAGCAGCCGGTGCTAGCCTCGTAGCTCTGAGTGACCCTTGGTGACCCTTGGTGTCTCTTCCCCCACCTCTGCTCTGCTCTGCCCATCATGCCAGGGCCCTCAAGGTGGCCCTGATTTTTGCAGCGTCCTATCCATGCGCCTCCTCAATGCTGTCTCTGTGGAGGGTCCTTTGACACTGTCTGAGGTACCCTACCCTGGCAGCGCCCTCACCCACGGTGTCCTGGACTTAGCTGGCAGGACTTTGGAGCACACCCGGGCCCTGGAGTGTGAGTAGGGTTCTCCTGACACCCGCCTTGTGCTGCTCCCCCCTCAGCTGAGTGATGAACTGAAGCAGCACCTGAATCGCACCTTGACTGAGAACTATGGGCAGCCCAGGGCCGTGGAGATCACAGCCTCCGTGGACCGTCTACAGCAAGATGTAAGGTGCCAGGCAGACCCAGGTTCACAACCGACTCTGTTCCTTCCCACCTGTGTGACCCTGGCAAGTTCCTCGCCCTTCGGAGCTTCCATTGCCACGTCCCTAGGGGAGACTGACTGGAGGTAGCCAGGAAGCAGGGCAGGGCTGGCCTAGGTTGTTCCCCATGAACCTCTTGGGGAATGTGAGCTGGAACTCTGACCACACCCAGCACATGAAAGGTGCTTTCTGAACCCTCGTTCCTTTCCTTCATCCTCCTCTGCCTTGACCTCTCCCACAGCTTCCCCTGACCTCTTCCTCCAAATCCCTCATGCTGACTTCCCACTTGGGTCCCCTGGAGCAGGAAGCAGGCCAGGCCAGCAGAACTCTGTCTGCTCAGGACAAAGATAAGAAGTTCCTTTCCAGGCCCTTCTATCCGTGAGCTGCCTTTCTCCTTCCTCGGGGACCTGGGGGCCAAGACGCCAGGAGGAAGAGCTGTGACAGGCTCTCAGTGAGGTGGCCACAGAACTGCTGCAGAACAGAACAGAGAGGGCATCTTTCCTTTCCAAAAAGAGATGCAGCTGACACCCCAATGAGGCCCACAGTCCCAGCCAGAGGTAGGGAATGGGCAAGTGACCTCAGACCTGTGCTGTCCAAAATGGTGGCCACTAGTCATAGGTCACTTTTATACTTAAATGCAAAACTCAGTTCCTCTCATGCTTGTCACAATTCAAGGGCTCAATGACCACACATGGCTAGTGGCACAGATGTAGGACATTTCCCAGTTCTACTGGACAGCCCTGTCCTACTGGCTCCTTAATGGAAAATTCCAAGCAGCTCTAAGTGACCACTATGCTCCCAGTCCCCCTGCCATCCAGCCACCCCACCCAGGCCCAGGGCCTTGCTCTGGGACCCATAAGCATCAGGCAAGTAGAGGAAGTCAGTGGGTCCTGAGCACCCGGATGTCATGGCTCAGCCCTTCCCCACCTCCTTCCCTTAAGGCTCAGGTTCAGCTCCCAGTCAGGGTCACAGGGAGGAGTCTCTTCTCTCAAACAGGGACCAGGGACAGATGTATACACACAGACGCACACACAACACACTTAGCCAGGAACCAGGATTGGCACAGGCTGCTGCTGGTCACCCTGTCCCGAGCTCAGTGTGCACCTGCTGGGCCTCCCAGGGGAAGAACTGTGTGAGACAGCGACTGGGACACAATCCCTGCCCCGGGCACTTACTCTGGAAGCTCAGCTCGCAGCAGATGACGTGCCAGGTGCTCGGCTGGGGTTCCCTTGGACTAGAGGGGAAGGGAGAGGGGTTTACAGGGGAGACTGACTGGAGGTAGCCAGGAAGCAGGTCAGGGTTGGCCTAGGTGGACAGGGGGAGCCGCAGGTCAGGGTGGGGACGTGTGAGGAAGGGCTCCTCTGAGAGCAAATGCCATGTTGCTGACCAGGATCTGTGTGGGCAAGGACATGTGGACGTGGGCCTCAGACTCACCAAGGATATGGCTCCCCAGCCCACATTGCAGACAAGAGAGACCAAGCCCCAAGACAGCAGTGGCTTCAGAGCCAGGGCCACCATCAGGACCCTTCAGTGGCACCACATGTATGCAAATGACAGGTGCCCATGTACCACAGGTCACTCGAGGAAGATGGTGACTCCAAGTCCCTTGTTAATAGCTAGCTCTCCCCAGATCCTTTCCTAAGTGCTTACCTTGCAACCTGTGCTCAGAACAGCCCTGTTGGGGTGGCTTTTGTTGTCCCCATTTTACAAATGGCGCAGGAATAGCAAGGCATACGCACAACATGCAGAGACACACCATGTACAACTCCTGTGCGACTCCCCCTCACACTGTCCCTGGCCCCCTTCCTCCTCTGGGCCACATACCGGCTTCTGTTATCTCTCCTACTAAATAACAGTAATGAGAAGCTCCCCCAGGGCAGGATCCCCACCTGACTTGTTTTTGAGCTCAGTCCCCAGCTTCACTCCTGGCACATAGTAGGTGCCTAAGAAACTCTTGTTCCCTGAACTATGAAGTACCTGCCTGCCACCCACCCATGCCATACTGCAGAGACCGCTTTGACGCAGCCATGTCCCCCAACCTATAGAGGATTTAGCATCTCAGTGCCTTGACTCATAGGGATAAGAAGTGATCAGTGTCCATTCTTTGAATCACATTCAGCCTGGGCTGGCATTTCCGTCCCCTGGGCACTGAAAACAACCCAGGTCCTGCTCAGCACACAGCAGCCCTGTGCTCAATGTCGAGCTGCCATATTCTGCGTGGGCTCTGGGACACTCTGCCCCTGGGGTGTGGGGACTCTGATAGCTTCAAAGCCAGAATGGGGACCCAGGAACCTCTGGCAAGGATGGATCCCTGTCCCCAGGTCCTGCCTCACAGATGACCAGGAAATGCCCCCCTTGTTGTTTTGCCCCAGTGGGTCCTGGCTTTGCCACCTAGTGGTCCACAGCCCCACCCTCCCAGGACCCCAGCCGCTATCTACCCCTAGAGTCCCCAACATAGTCTTCTTAAAGGACTGGGTGGCTTCCCAAGGTAGCAAACAGGTGTCCTGTGGAGAGGACCCCAGAGGGACCTGTTTCCTGCTCAAAACTGGGGAAGGGGAGGATGGCAGGGAGAGGATGTAGGGGTTGAACCTTTGGAATCCCAAGCCCTGCAGCCCCGTGACTCGGGGGCCCATGGGGCCCACCCAAGCCCCTCTCACCTCCGGCCTCACTCTCCCTCTAGTTCAAGTGCTGTGGGAGCAACAGCTCGGCTGACTGGCAGCACAGCTCCTACATCCTGTCTCGGGAGGCTGAGGGCCGCCGGGTGCCCGACAGCTGCTGCAAGACAGTGGTGACACGCTGCGGCCAGCGGGTCCACCCCTCCAACATCTACAAGGTGGAGGTGAGTGCCCCAGCTCCAGTTGGGGGCCCGGTGGGGGCCAGAAAGGGCATCTCAGGCAGATGGGAATGGTGCTTGGGGCACCTCCAAGGGTCTCAGAGCCCTAAGACAAGCAGCTCCTACTGGGAGAACCCCAGAAATCATGGCGAGAACCCTGGGGCCCCGCAAGAAGCCTGGGAGTGATTCCAAGGCTGGATCCCCGCCCTCTAATCTCTGGCTTTCTTCAGCCTCCGCTGGACCCAGTGGACAGCCAGCCCGGCCTCGCCCCTGCTGGGCCGAGGCTCGTGTAACCCTTGGCTCCATTGCAGGGAGGCTGCATCACGAAGCTGGAGCAGTTCCTGGCTGACCACCTACTGCTCATGGGGGCGGTGGGCATCGGGGTAGCCTGCCTGCAGGTGAGTGCAGTGGGAATCAGCACAGGGGCTGTGTGGAAGCGCTTGGAGGCCCTCTCCCATTGACCGAAATAAGTGGCCCTTTATGCACCCATAGCCTGCCTTCCCCTGCCCTACCTGTCTTCTCTCCCCTTCCCTTTGCAACCAAGGATGAACCACAGGTCAGTCTCTTCCCCAGGGAACACTGAACAACTTGAACTTAGAAGGAACAGGGACCTGGGAGGAGTCTGAGTGTGGGCTCAGGTATGTGTGTGCACCCTGCGCGTGTACAGCCTGCGTGTGGGTCCTTGAGCGTCTGCATGCACCTGGATATGCCTGGTTGGGATGTGTGCCGCACACGTGCTGAGATGTGCTTGTGCCTATATGTGTGTGTGTGCACGTGTACCAGCACTCCCATGATGTATGTGTGTGTGTGTGTGTGTGTGCATGTGCTCTCCTCTTGTACACCCAGCTCTGTCCCCGAGGATGGGCAATGCCCTTGGTCCTGTCGCTTCCCTCCACACCACCCCCCAGCCACCACCCAGGAAGCAGGCATCATTGACATCAGTTGCTCCAGTCAAGGGCCCAAAGAAGAGGAGCCAGGAGGGGACTCTTAGGGGCTGGGCAGATACAGTGAGCTCAGGTCCCTTAGGTCCCCACCTCACCCTTACCCGGCACTTGTACCCTGATGGAAGGTCCTTCTAGAGGGAGCTTCACATCCTGCAGTCCTGCTGTAGTAGCATCTAGGGAAGGCCAGGGGCTCTGGAGTCAGAACACCTGATCCAGTCCTGGCTCTGCTCCTGTGGGATCTTGAGTTAAGCTGTTAAGCTGTCCTTCAACTTCATCTGCAGAATGCAGGTCATTTCTCCAACCTCGTAAGTTCTAAATAAGAATTACAGGTTGCATGTCACCCACTCAGGGCACATGGCACTTACAAAGGCCTCCGTACGTGGAAGCTGTCTTCTCCAGTTACCTGTGAACTTTAGAATATTTTCAGTGGCTTCCTTTCATCAGAGCCTTACAACAACCTGAGACCCAAGCCAAGTGGGGAGGAGATCAGGAATTGAGATCTGGAGAGGCCACGTATGTAAGGTGTCACACCCTGACCAGACACAGAGATCTCCTGGATTTGGTTCTTTGCTTTCCCAAACCCCTAACCCCCACACAGAGGTCTATGGAAAAGAGACACTTAGAGTGCCAGTGTCACCTGGCTTCAGGAGACTTCCAGTGTAGGATCCTTCCAGAACAGGTGCTATCCATACACAACAGTGTGTGGACCTCGAAGACCCAGCTGCAGTCTTTCAGGCTGAGAAGGAGGTCCCCAGCCTCTGGAGGAAGACCCTTCTTGGTTCTGCCACCTACAAATCATGTGTCCTAGGGCCAGTTATTTCATCTCTGAGCCTCAGTTACTCATTTGTAAAATGGTGTACTTATTCTTTGGTGGGACCATGAGAATTAGCAATATGCATGTAAATCACCAGAATTATTGCCGAGCATATAATAGGTGTTCAGTAAATGAGGCTCATCATTTTCATTATTTCTACATGGACACATTGTTTCAAAAAAAAAAAAATCTCCAGTGGTTCCCTGGCAAGAGCAGCCTGCCTCTATGTGCCCATTTACCTGCGTGGCCCAGGGAGCCCCAGGTGGCCTTTGGTGCACTCCCCAGCACAGGCCTTCTGTCCCATTTGCTGAAACCAGAAGAGTCACCACTGGAACCCAGGGAAGGGGCTACTCTGTGCTCCAGATCCTGGCTCAGCTGAGGTTTTCATAAACCTGTTACTCCAGCAGTTGGGGGGGCCTGTTCTATATGGATACAGACCAGGCCTGGTCTATTCCTGACCATTTCTTCATGATCCATCTGTCCAGAGAAGCCATAGCCAAAGGCACAGAAACCAGGGATGTCGAGTAGGACTGCAAATGCCTTGAGCCCAAGGTCAAGGTGGAACTTTACTGGGCAGTGCTTCGCAAGCCCACTGAAGTTTCCTCCCACTCACAGCCCCCAACCTGGAAGGTTGAGAGGGAGTTTCACCTGGCCGCAGCTGTGGATCTCAACCCCTTACCCAGTGTTCCCCTCTGCAGGCCACTGAGCCTACCCAGCAGCAACCAAGCCTCAGGTTAGAGCTCCCTCTGCTGGCCAGAGGTGGGCACTAAGCTGCCCCAGTCCTCTAAGTGGGCTGAAGCCTCTTCCCCAGACCCATATCCTCCTCAGAGCCAGAGCAGACACCAGATACCTCCCACACACACTTATTATGGCACTTTAGAGACCCCCACATTTCAGGATGTCAAGCATAAGATGGTTTCACAATGTTTCCTGGTCCCCAGAACTGGAGGAAATCATGTTTGGGAGTCAGAGGGCCTGGATTCTACACATAGCTCCACCTCTTGCTATGTGACCTTGCTGTGTGACTGAACACCTGTTATATGCTCGGCAATAATTCTGGTGATTTACATGTGTGACATTCCATTCCTTCTCTGGAATATAGAATGGAGAGATTGAACATTTTTTAACCTTTATTAAGCAGCAGCATCCACTTTTTCTTTCTTTTTTTTAAACATTTATTTCCTAGGACACAATACAATGCCTTTATTTGTATGTGGTGCTGAGGATAGAACCCGGGTCCTGCCTGTGCTAGGCGAGCACTCTACCACTGAGCCACAATCCCAGCCCCAGCATCCACTTTTTAATGGAGTTTCCACATAGGACCCCACTCTCCATTAAACACAGACGGCAGAGCAGCTGTTAGGATTGACACAGGAGACAGGACTTTCGTGACAGCCACCCTCACTGCTTTCATGACCCTGAGCTACACTTGGGATTTCTGGTGCAGTTTAAAAACCACTGGTCCAATCCATCTCTCAGGAACTTTCTGACTCTAATGTGTGATTTTGGGGGGTAAGATTCCCTTCTCAGTAACCAGTTATCTTGGGATTGATGTCCTGCAGCATGCAGGAATGTTAAAGCAGATAACTTGTGAACACTCTGAAACCACACAGAAAGTTCACGGAGTGTTGCCAACCCTGACTTCAGCCAGGTATTGGGCCACGTGTGAATGTCGCCTTGCAGACCAGACACCAGGCACTTATCGGTTTAGGAGAAATTGTGACAACTGGATGAGCACGCTGGGAGAGAGAAATGAGATCAGTGTCAGCCTGGCCTTCAGCCTCAGACCATCTCTTCCTAGTTTTCCTAGTGATCTCAGGGATGGCCCAGAGTTGCCGATCAACTCTGATAATGGGCCACATCTGCAGAGAGAGCTGGTCTGTTCGTGATAAAGCCAGCAGGGAAGAAAGAGCTCCGTGGGTGGAGAAGATGGACTGAAAGGGAGTTCGAGTCCTCACATTTAAGTCTTGCCTTGCTTTGCATCCAGCCTATGACACAGAGCGGGGGCCGGTAATCTGCCTGGGTTGTCTGATGCAGATACAGCCTCGAAGGTCACTGGTAGAAATCAGGAAGACAGCCAGGATGCTAAGGTGCCAACACAAGCCACACCAAGGCCCCATGCTCTGGTTCCAGCCCCACCTTCCCAGTGGGATGAGACCTCTACAGAGACTCCAGGGTGGTGGTTGTCTGCACATCAGATCCCCTGGCAAGCTTTAAAACCCCCCAAGGCCCAGACCACACCCCAGCACAAGTAAACAAAATGGTCTGAGACTGGCCCCAAGGCCTCGGTGTGTCCGCTAAGCTCCTTAGTGGTTCCTTAGTACAGACAGGTCCAGAGTGAGGACAGGTAGACTGGAAGTCAGGTGTGGGCAGCGTCAGGAGATGGGAGAAGAAGGCACTCTTCTTGGTGTCTCTAAACCACAGCAGTCATGTGGGGGAAGGAGGAGACTTTTCCCAGGTGGCTCCAGGAGACGGGCAGGAGCTGTAGGTGGAATTTACAAGGAGACAGATTGGAGACCTTTTTAACAACCGCAATTAACCCACGGTGGTCCTTGCAGAGCCCTGAGTTCTCTGGGGCTGCCGGCTGGGGCAGAGGTTGGGGCCAGCGCGGATGCTAAATGGAAGAATGCTTTTCATCAAAGACAAGGCCTGCTGGGAGGGCACCTGCTCCTCTGTCCACCCTGGCCATGTAACTTGCCATACTGCAGGCGATGTCGGACCAGGTAGGGGCCATGAGGCTCTTGAGGTGCCCCCACATCATAGACTCCCAGACCAAAGAAGACCCTGCTGACTGGACCATGCCATCAGTTCTGATTGCACATTTCTAAATACCCTGCTCATGTTGTCCTGGGAGGAGTCCCATCTATGGGTATGTTTTAGTGTCCCATTGATTCAAATGTACATTTGGGGTAGAGAACCCCTAGGCCCATCTTATTCACAGAAATTGACAGAGATGGAGAAAGAACCAGGTGAGGGAACAGCATGTGCCTGGCTGGCTGGCGTTGGTGGGGGTGGTATACTAAGGGCCCAGAATAGGGGTGCTGTCTGGCCTAGGGTGCAGGAGGGTCCTAGTTTTTTGTTTTGTTTGGGTTTTTTGTTTGGCTTTTGTCATCCTGGTTTTTAAAGCGTCTTACTCTGGACCAGTGAACAGACTGGAAGCTTTTTTACTGATGGAGTGAGATTTAAGGCTCAGAGAGAGATGGAAATGACCCCCTAGGTCACACAGCCCATCAATACTTACCCCACATAGAATGCAGCCCTCTAGCACCCCAACATTCCTCGTGATTGGATGCAGGCATGTTCCAAAGCCCCGAAAACTCGCAGGACAGCCAACATTGGGATCTAGAGGTCGTTAGAAGGAAAACCAAAAGGTCCTTTGGAAATGACCTCCCAGAATCTTCCTGGCCCTTCCTCCCAGCTCTCTAATGAGGTGCTGGCTTGGAAATGTCAAGAAGGCTGAGAGCATGATGCCTGCTTGTTAAAAATATCCTATACGTGGCCAAGTGCTCTGCCCAGGCAGCTCCCAGAAGAAAGCACTGTGCCCACGCAGGCCTGGCCCAATCTCCCCTCTGCCGTGCCAGCTCCTGCAGTCAGTTTGTCCTGTGTCTGGGAGATGCTGATGCTTGTTCAGGACCCCTTCAGTTATTATCCTTTACCTCTTTGCATGATTCGGGGTGTGAAGTGTGTGAGCGCGTGTGTGTGTGTGTGTGTGTGTGTGTGTGTGTGTGTGTGTGTTCGTGTACACACATCTTCGTGAGAGCATTGTTAACGCCTCTGCATGATTTGGGGTGGGTCCGTGTGCATGTATGTGTGTGCATGTCACATGTGTGTGCATGTGGACACACATTAATTAGTGTGTGGCCCACACACCTCTGCCTTACTGTGCCTGTCCTGGGAAGAACCTGGAAATCCACATCTCCTGCACAGATGTGTGTACCAGGGAACTCAGCTCGTCCATGCTCTCGGCCATGCACATCTTCATCAGCCAGTCCTTCTCCCTCTGGCTGGAGCCCTGTGGCCACCCAGGTCTGCACTGCCAAGAATTGAGGGGTGGGGGTGGAGTAGGGGAATTCAGAGCATTGTTCCTGTATATAAGGAAATCTACCTTCACCCTGTGCTATGGGACAGTCATGGGGCTATTCAGACATAACGCCCCTCTCCTGTGGACAAAGAGTCAAGATCCAACATGTCATTTTCATTATCAAAATCATGATGACTGTCACAGGGCTTCTTGGTCTGACACATCCCCATCTCCTTCTCCTTAATGCATCCTTGGTTGAGAGGAGGAGGAAGAGGGAGGAGGAGACCCCATGAAGAGCAAAGAGGAAGAGTAAAGGTCCTCTGCATTTTGGAAATGGGGAGCATGAGACCTGGGGTGGGAGGCGACTTTCCTAAGACTACGTGTGCCCCAGGCAGGGTATTGTAACCCCTTCCTTTTCGGTGAGTGCCTGCCCGCAGAGGGACTGTCAGGAAGGACTCCTAGGCCCTGGGTCTGCATCCCGAGATGATTGACAGGACACACCGGTGCTCCTCCCAAAGTCTCAGCTTCCTGGTGGCTTCTGAATATCAGCCAAAGTATGTTTGATGCTCTGGAGTCCAAGAGCAGCAGACTCGAGGTGGACTAGAGAGAAAGACACTTCAGCTCTAAGGAGGGAATGGAAATATCACCACTGAGTAGCTAATTAAATCAGGCCTCCAGAGCAGACCTGGGATCACGTGCCAGCAACATCTCCTGGGAGCACCTACTAGAGAGATGCAGGTCCTCAGGCCCTCACTCAGGCTGCTGGGGTTTTAATCTGCCAGGTAACAAGACCCCAGGTGACTCATGCCCATCAGAGTGTGAAAAACATGCTCTTGGACAGTAGTTCTCGGAGTGCGGTTCTCCCATACACACCAGTATCACCTGGGAGCAGGTGAGCAACGTGGCCCACCCCAGGCCTGCAGAGGGAGAAGGGCCCTGGGATCCCGTCATGCACTCCAGCAGAGCAGCCTGCTCAGGGCACCGCAGCCAGTGACCTCATGGGGTTCTGATTTCCCTTTGCTCTCTGCTCTCTCCCTCCTGGCAGATCTGCGGGATGATTCTCACCTGCTGCTTGCACCGGAGGCTCCAACGGCACTTTTATTAATGGTCAGCCCTGTCCCCTTCTGGCTGTCCCTCACAAGTACAAGGGCCTACATCTCCACATCCATCAGCAGGCGGGACTAGAGCCATTTACCCTGTGCCCAGGCCCGGGGAGCCCACCAAGTGCCTGGATGGTGACTCCTGCTCTTCCCACCTAGGCAGGGACCCTCAGTCCCCACCCCTTCACTTCTGAGCATTCACTGCCAGAATCCTGGGCAGGGAATGATCCTGCCAGGACACAGCCAGAGCCCCTTGCCAGGCATGGAGTGTCCAGGTCAGTAGGAAGGTGAGAGCTCTTCACTTGGTCCCCTTGTAGCTGGAACCTGGAAGGAAGGCTGGAATCTGGGTCCCTCTGGGACTCCTGCAATGCATTGGGTGCTGAGCAGCCTGCATCTGGCTCATGCCAGGGACATCCCGGTGGGGCAGTTAGGAATGGCTGCCTCCTAGTAAAACTAGCCAGTCCCTGGCCTGACTGTTCCCCACACTGTCTCATTGGAAAGCAACGTCCTCCTATCTGCATTGCTGCCTGCAGGGCTGGGAAGGGAGGCCTGAGGTGGGCCACCTGGTAGTGCTGCCAGGAAAGGAGTAAGAGCCCTGCACCCTGCCACTCCTCCTTCGTGGAAGAGATTCCCCCTGGAGACCATGGCCCCAAGCTCCAGCCTCCAGTAATATGCACATAATTCCTGTTCCAAGGCTTATTGTCAGAAAAGCCAGGTTTTCAAACTATCTGGCTGCTAACATCCGTGGATTTAAAAGCCCTCCCCAAGTGGACCAAATCAGACCTAAAAAGTCAGAGCCACAGAGAAAGGGAAGTTCTGAGGAGGGGTGCCCTGCCTGGACCCCACTTTTCCTGAGTCCCTCTCTCCCTGACCACATGGTCATCACCCTGTTCCTTCCAGGGGCCTTACTCTGCTTCCTTTTCTACTGCCCCAGAGCAGGCACAGTCTCTTCCTTTGGTTCTCTTGTGCATCAATGATTGAGTCAGGGAATTTTCAGGAAGAATTTTGCCAAATGCTAAGGGAGACCAGAAAGAAGATTCTAGAAAACATAGGGTAGAGTATGTATCAATTCCTAGACCTCCATCGGGAACCGCCCAGGGCTCCATATGACTGTTACTTGGGCAGCTCATAACATAAGAATCCCACTCCTGGTTTCCATCCTTCCAAGGTCCTACACTTCTGCCCACGTAGGGGACCCTCCTACTTCCCCAGCAAGAAGGAGTGGCACTTTGTTAACTGAAGCTGAGACCACCTTCCCTCCCACTCTATCCAGCCTTCATTCTGATGAGCACAGCTCTTGATGACCCAGGCTCATCCTGAAGAAGGAACATTCTCTTCTATACTTAGGGGTGCCCTAGGGGCCACTCACTGCTGTCATCAATGTAGTCCTGAATGGTCCAGACACTGCATCCTCAGAACAGGAAGTAGCCACGTGGACAGAGTTTAGACCAGGCTCTGGGGCACACTGCTTTCTCCACTCCAGATTCCCCAGGGGCTCCTCACAGCCTGGGCTGGTTTATCTCATCTGCCTAGATGGCTCTGGGGTTGCTGATGCAAATGCAATAAAAAGAAGACAAGCTCTCCCAGCAACCCCAGACTGCACCACAGCCAAGAGAAGTGGTGGTTATCTTAGCTGCCCTACAACTTCCTGAGACTCATGCAGATAATCAAAACTTGTGGTGACTCCCAGGCTTGCAGAGGGAGGGTTGAGAAAGAGAGTGCTGGACTGGGACCAGTCCTTCCCGCAGAGGGGCCACAGGGTAGACGGTAGTGGGCAGGGATATTCTGTGGCCTTCTCCATCTGCCCCTGTGGGCTCCCTTAATTCTCAGGGAGATGGGGACAAAGGTGACAGGTGGGCACCATTTGCACAGTCTTGTCACTGACACAGGTCAGGAGAGCCTGACTCATCAGCCCCTAGCCCAAAAGTAAGGCCAACCTTACTGGGGACAGGATTAGCTGTGATTCCTTCCCTGGGCACCATCCTGTGCAGATGGGGGCACGACTGGTTGGAGCTGCAGAGTGGAGAACAGCCCAGAGCTTTTTGGAAACATGACCTCCTTATTCATGCCAACAGGGTCGACATGAGACAGGTTCAGAAGAAACAGAGCCACAGAATACAGCACATTCTGCCTAAGGGCACATAACGGCTGTCGTCCAGAGCTGTAAGGTTATGATCCTTGGTCAGATGTGCCCCTCCCTCTGACAGGGATGCAGATCCATGCCTGAGATGCCTCCTCCTGTTCCTGCTTTGAGGCTTTCACAGTCTCAAGTGCCTTGGAAAGAGAGAAAAATATGCCTGCAGAAAATCGTATCCTCAGTCCTAGGGGACAGGGACACAAAGTTCCTAGGGTCCCTGAAGCTTGGGTTGGCATATCCTTGCCTTGAGCAGACTAAGCACCCTGCCCTAAGCTCCCAAGGGCAACACAAAGAGCAGAGCATATCCCCAAGTCCCCGGATGACTGGGGAGGGGAAGGAATGAAACCTGACCCGTGGTGAGAGTTGAGATGTTTACACCAGTTATCGTCTTTCTCCTTCCCCTCCCCTTCACTGTAGCCCTGACTCCAGGAGTCCCTCTGGCATGGCTATTTGAGGAATGTTTACTGAGGGTCTCCTGTGCACTTAGAATGTGTTAGTTGCCATTAAATACATTACCTTGCAGTGACCCCAGTGAGAGGAACTAATTTCCCCATTTTGCAAATGAGACAATTAAGGCTCAGCCACGTCAGGGGCCCTGCCTGTCTGTGGTGATGGCTGTCGTCATGGACCGCCGCCAAGTGGACCCAAGGAAGGCCAGACCCCTCTGCTCAGCATCCCATAGTCCTCAGCCTCTGCAACAAGCTGTCAGCCTGGCACTCAGGTTCAAAGTGTCCTTCAGGGACATTGCCAGATAGCGGCAGCCCCAACACCCCTCCCAGGTCAGACAGAGCCATCCCTCGCAGCCCTGCACATTTGCAAGTTGGTGCAGAAGTCTGGCGTATTTCAAGGTGACAGCCAGGACCCCCTGGCAGAGAGGCTCAGGCACACTTCCATGATAAGGTTGACACCACAGTGAGAGCTGGGACTGTCCCTCTGCTCTCAGAACCCTCAAACAGGGTGGGGTGGGAATCTCATGCCCATGTGGACATCAGCATCTAGGACAGAGATGTCTCTTCCCACCCCATTCTGGGGCCTCAGATCATGTGCACCCACAGAGCCACCCTGGGCAGGGATGGGCTCTAGTGGGTGATGCTGTCCCCTCCTCTTCCATTGAGGCCCTTTTCTGCCTTCTTGCCCTCTCCCGTATTGAGCACCCATTGTTGCTGGGTTCTAGGATGGACACAGTGTCACTTTTGTCCACAGAGCCTCACTCTGTGCACAACCATAGGGATTCAGATCCAGAAGGGTTCTGTGACCCTGGGGGAGCAGGATATGATAGGTCACTATGATTGGCCCCAGGACCCTCATGTCTGAAAATCCACTTTGGCCTTGATATCGGCAGCTCTGGGCCCCTCTTCAGGGTTTGGAGGTAAGGGGAGTGAATTGGAACAGTTACCTTCATCACCATGCAACCCACTACCAACCTTGGAAATACTCCCTAGGTACAGGGCCATGGTCAGCCTGGGGAAGGAAGGGGAGAAGAGGTGGGCCATCTGACCAACTGAGGAGGAAAGCAGTCTTTTGAGTGGCCGCTGGGTGGCGCTCATGTCTGCTGAGGATGGTACTGATCAAGCATCAAACCCAGCAATTCTCAAACTTGCTCTGGCGACATGATCACCTGGGGACTTTTCAAAACAGACTGCAGCCTCCCCAGAGTTTCTCATCAGAAGGCCTGAGGACAACAATTTGCATTTCCAGCAAGTTCCTAGGAGGTGCTGATGCTGCTGGTCCTAAAACCACTGCTTGGGGCCATATCATAAAGGAAGACCTACTACCTTCTTTCAGATGTCACACCCCCAGGGTTCAAAAGCCCAGCAGGCTGTCTGGCTTGAGTTCCACCTGCTGCAGCCTCGACTGTTCGCACTTGATCTGCTGGAAGAGGGTGGGATGAAGCGGCCACTGGTGTCTGTTCACAGCCAACCAGGAAAGCCCCTCTCAGCTCTGCATTCTTGCAGCCCTACCCTGATGGATCTGTGACCTTGGCCATGTTGCAGCAGTGGCCCAGGTACCTGGATCCTCTTCCTGGAGGGGGGCTAGTTACATTTACCAGCCTGTTCTCCCACCACCTTCTATGTGCCTTGGGACAGCTCTGCTATATGCTCGTCAACCCCAGCCAGAGCACAGTACCCAGCTCCGTAGTATTCTAGGCCTCCCATGATCCCTGTCTCCTTCCCACCTAGGCAACCTGTCCCACACCCTGCCCTCTGCCCCGAGCAAGTGCCACTAGTAATTCTAAGCATCCCAGTGTTTGGAGGCCACTTGGGCTCCTGGAACCAGGTGGCCCATGAATGTGGGTTACCAGAATATTCTAGAAACAGAGAAGTTGCCTTAACTTACTGCTTGTAGGGAAGCTATAAGTATGCCTCTCTCCTTAGCTGATTTCATTGGAAGCCCAGCTTCATGTACTACAGGGCTTGACAATAAAGGAATTGTATTAAGGACTATGTTCTGCTGATCTGTCTTTTGCTCCTGTAAGGGAATCCCAGGCTATTGGCTCACCAAATGCACTGTGATCCTAGAGAAGCCTCCACGCTGGTCATGGCTTCCCTATTAGCAACTCACTGACCACATTTGTTAGGGTCCTGCTCACCCTGCATCCATCAGCTCTCATCATTCATTCGTCTGGAAGGAGCTCTCCTGCTCACGGGTATCATTAGCTCCTGCTCTGGCTGCAAGTGAGAGCCAGGCTCAAACAAGTGTGTTTGAATTGGGTTCTGCTTAAAGTCTCCCACCTTCCATCTATTGGTGTTTTCACACCATTCCTACAAGATTTGCCTGCCTGTGTTAAGAAGCCTGCATTTGGCTTCTCCCTGCTCAGACCATACACACTCACCCTCTCTGGCTGTAGCAGGTGCAGAGTGTGGCCAGAGGTCTGGAGCACAGGGCTCCCTCTGGCTGACTTGCATCCTGGATCCCAAGCCACCTCAATCCAGCGAATCTAATAGACTTTCTCCCCTGGCACCATTTCCATCCCCAAATCTAGATTTGGAAACTTCCCCTGCCAGCTTACCTGGCAAAAAGCTGAAAGGAAGTGGATACTTTGTCTTTAATGACATAAAATACTCATTTTCTTTAATTCACTCCTCTTTCTAGAAAATTTGGTTGGTGGGGAACCCAAAGAGTATCTTGGTAATCTGGGCTCAAGGGAATCCCAAGACAGAAGAACTGGGGGAGGGGGGTGAGGCCCAGGAGGCAGCCAGGAGCCAAACTACTTGCCTGTTTGAACTTGAAGTGGGCCTGGCCACCTGCTGTGTAAGCAGATTGAGCCACCTGAGGAAGTCCCCAGGCAAGGACCCACCTTGCAGGGTAGTCTGCTTCCCTGTGTCTCTGGGGCCGCTTTGGGCAATGTTCAGTTATTCTCTGAACAACCACAACAGAGTCCTCTATGGTATGGATGTAAACAGGGAATGGCCAAGCCTAGGACATATTCATGGACCCATTGGCCTGGGACATCTGCTCACCTCTGCTATCACTGTGTGTGTGTGTACACATACACACTTGCACATACACGCACAAGCACACAAATATACCTGAGGAGGGACAAGCGCCACTCCTCCCCCTTCTCTACTGCAAACAGGCGTTGCTGCTGGTGGTTTGCAACTGCTGTCTAAACATCCCTAGCAGCCGCCGAGGGCCTTGTCAAGGCAGGCAGGCAGCAGGAGGTGGTTGCTGAAGCAACACCAGGCTCCCCTTGGTGGCTGCTGCTGGCCTGTCAGCTGCCTCCACTTCCCTGAAGGTGTCAATGCCTCATGGCAGCCCCCCGGGCTGGGCTGTCTTTGCTGGGGACTTTGGATTCCACTTCTTCCCCACAACTGAAAATAGAGAGGCTGATGGGGTTGCTATGGTTTGGGGAAGTGTCCCCAGAAGACCCATATGTTAAAATCATGATTGCCAGCTTGTGGCACTACTGGGAGGTGGTGGAACCTGCAGGAGGTGGGGCCTAGTGGGAGGAAGTTAGGTCATTGGGGGCAGGCTCTTGAAGGGGATATTGGGACCCAGGCCTCTTCCTGTATCTTCTTTGCTCCCCCATTGCCATAAGGTGAGCAGCTTCCTCCACATACGCTCCAGCCATGATATACTACCTCACAACAAGCCCAAGCCATGGGGCCAACAGACTGAAACCTCTGAAACCATGAGCCAAAATAAATCTTCCTCCATAGAAGTTGACTACCCTAGGTATTTTTTTTTTATAGTTATGGAAAGCTGACTAGCCCAGGGGTGAGGAACAACTTCCATTAGACTTTCGAAATATTGAGAGTAGCTCATGAACCTCTAATTCTGTTTTAAAGAACCCCAAGCTGGGGATTAGAGATCAAATTCAGCATGTGCTCCCTGAGTAGTAAATAAAAAGGCTGAGTCCTTTCAGGGTCTCTTGCCAGAAAAAAAAGAATACATTAAGAACATACTTGGGGGGCTGAGAATTCAAATCGGGGGGGCATGGGGGTAGGAAAGGAAAGGACAGGGGCTTCCCATGTCATTAAGTGATAGAACACAGGCCACTGCTCATGTTGACTGCCTGTTGGAGGGCCCCAGCTCTGAACCTTGGGCCAGGCTAAATCCCACAACTTTGTAACCAGAGGAAAACTCTCTGGGCAACAGGAACCAGCCACAGACTACTGTGCAGCTTTCCTCCCCAAGTTTCTCTCTCTCCACTGTGCCCAGGGCCACCAAGGGAAACCCCCAGGTTCATCCCAGTGAGCTCTCAGGTCTCTAGAAGTTCCAGGTGGGCAGCTTCGAGCAGGAGAGTGTGGCTCAAGCACACCTGTGGACCATTATTATTCTTTTCGTTAGCTTAAGCAAACAATCCTCCTTCTCATAGCTGTCTTTAAACACAGCAAAACCCAGATGGCTAAATCAATAGTCTCCCAATCTTCGCTGAATGCTTTAAGAAGAGACCATCACAATGCCAATAATTTTGTGTCCAAAATGACATTTATTTGATTTGTCTTCCCTGTTGCTGCTGTGGGTTATTGAATGCTGCTGCTGAGCCAGCCCAGGGCTGAGCTGAGGCACGGGGAAGCTTGTCCACTCTGCAGTTCAATCCTCTCTCAAAACACCAAACTGCCCTTCCTAGCTTGCTCTCCCTTGTCCCTGGCTTTGGGCCTGGGCGATGATCTTCCTTGGGTTACACCTTTGGTTTGGGGATCCTGATTCCACTAACTTTTGCTGAGCACCTATACTGATCCAGGAACTGTCTGGACGCCTACACACATTCTTTTATCTTAGCCTCCCAGCAAATCTGAAAATAGCATTATCCTCATTTTGCAGATGAAAAAACCAAGACAAGTTCAGTGGCTGCTCCAAGGTTCATGTGGACACCAAATGCACAGTGGAAATAAATCTAGCTCTTCCAGTTCCCAGACTGGTGCTTCTGCCGTCCACACCATGGGACATCTCGAACGTGAAGTTCGTGCATCCAGACGGCCAAAAAGATCATTTTGGTCAGGAGGAACCTAGACGATAGTTTATGAAAGCATTTTTGGAAGCTGTGAAGCTCAATACAAACAAAAGGAGCGTTTCAGTTATGCCATGCTGGTCTCTGCCACTCTCCTGCACGTGAGCACCAATACCAGACAGTACAGTCATCTATCTATTTGGTGCAGAGAATTAGTCATCTACCTCTCCAGGGTGAGAGTGTCATGCTGGGTGAATGGCAAGGACACTCCTTCTCCCCGCAGTAAACTTCATTACCTATCAGGGCTAGCTGATTTCCCAGAGTGTCATTCAAATCCATCTCCCAGTGGTTCCATCATTTCTCACCCCAAACATTGCAGCACCCTGTCCCCTCTGCCCACTCTCCACACTGCAGCCAGTCATCTTCCTAAAGGCCAGGGCCAAGCCCATCACACCCTGGCTCACAGCTTCTCAGACAGCTCCCATTGCTCTCAGCTGGAAGTTCAAGCTCTCTGACCTGGTCTTCAAGGATGAGTTCTGGTGAGGGCTGCCCGCTGCAGACACGTCCTCTCACCCTGTGCTCAGCCACCACACAGACACTCCTCCTTCCCCTCCTGCCCAGGTTAACTCCTCCATCTTCAGTTCTTAGCTTAGAGGGCACCTTCTCCAGAGGGCATCCCCCCATGCAAGTTGGGGTTGGCTCCTGTCCCCACTGGATTGCTGGCTATGGTCCAAGGTTGGGCACACATCTTCCACCACTGTATTGTCCGTGCTTGGGGGGTGCTGAGCTATTTGGCAGTCACTCATGATTCATCCTTTCTCACTTGCCTTTGCTGAGCACAGATGGAGGGAGGTTCTCCTACATCTCAAGGGAACGAAGAGGGCAAAACAGGGTTCCCCAGATGTTAGAGTCTGTAAACAAGTCAAAATAACACCTGGCATTTTGCCAGGGGAATGTTAGAGTTCGTAAACAAGTCTGGATGGCGCCTGGCAAAATGCCAGAGGGAGTGGTTTGTGAAGTAACTCCAGCGAGCCATTAAGTGTGGAGATTTCTTATTGGTTGACTGATGTATCTAGTTTATGCTAATTAAGATAAGCT